TCCTGCTGAAAGGTGAATTATTTAAATTTACTTAATCTGAATATGTTAACATTTTATGGAAAGATTATCTGTGAAGATGTGGTACAAAGAGAGTAAATATTTCATTTCCTACTAAATATTTTTAAGGTATTTAATAAAAGGAACTTGATCAATTGCCTTTTTATGTTCAATGTAGTGGGCAAATGTAATGGGTTTATGTTAGTCTTGATATAAAAAAGGATGTGATTATTTATTATAAAATTACATTTTCATTTTAAAAAAGTTTTAGCATTTTTGGCAGCACGAACTTTTTTTTTCTTAAATGTGAAGTTTTAGGAGCTAGTGGAGAGCTGTGAACCATGGTTCGCTTTCATTTGCTATCAGCAAGGAGACATGAATCATATGTGAGTCACACCTTCTAATTTGATACAGCTCGATAAGAGCAATTAAGCATCGCAGCTTCTGATAACAGAAGTCTGCTGTAGAAATGCATAGAGAAAATCATCTACATAAAAACAGAATGTTAGAACTGGGAAAAATATGAGATGCAGTCTGGTTGGGGGTTTCTAAAGAAAATATCAGACTCAAACATGTAAGAGTCAGGTCAATATCATGACAGATTCTTCCAAAAGTTTTTTTTCTATTTATTTATTTATTTTTGGAGAAGTTTTTGCTATAGGGCATGTGCGCTCACCAGACAGAGGGAGACAGAGAGACAGAAAGAGAGAAATCACCCCCCAGAGGGGATGGCCACGCCACAATCCCTTCTCCTCCATTCTCCTCTCGGGATCTTGGGTACGCATGCACATGCGCCTGGTGTCAGTTTCAGCTACTAAGTCCGGGACTCAAACCATGGTCAACTACATGGGAGTTCAGCGACATAGCCATTGCACTAACTGCTGGTTCCCCAAAAGTTTTTTCAAAGTCAGAGGCACTTGAGGAATGGCTAGTAATACAAAGGTTGAATGAAACATTAGGCAACCATTTTTCTTCAGCAGAAATAACTCATACTGAGAATTTCCGAGAGAGACGTGCACAATGCATTATGTATGATTACTGTTCTTTAAATCTTCAGTTAGAGATAATGTTTCTGGTTCCATATACTGAGAAAATATTGAAGAAATGGATACTAATACAGATTGCTTAAGGGCTTAACTGAGAACGAGAGTTAAACCTCTAAATTCTCAAGTTAGTTTTCATTTTACTATATTTGAATCTAAAATTTGGAGGTAACCATGTGTAAAGAAAGAAATACATGAAGCATCTGAAATATATATAAATACAAGTTGTAAATATTTTATATATAGTATACATAATACACATTCTATATGTACATATAATGTATCTGAAATATGCTTATTATAAACACAATATAAATCCTCCCTATCCTATCTATACACGTAGGATATATACTATATACATTTGCGTAACATGTCTATATATACATATTTATAGGAGAATTGAGAGTTGTATTACCAGAGTTAAATTGCATATCCATGTCTGCATGCAATCAATGAACTATTCTGAATTTACTAAAAGAGTTACAAGTAAAATTCATAATGTAATAGTAAAATCTGCTGCAAGTGGACTGTAGCCAAACAGAGTATTCTGAACTCCGCTAAGTTTATCAGGGAGTCGGTTTATTAGTTAATCCTAAACTAAAAAATTATTATTGTAATGAAAATGAACTGAATTCCACATTATTTGTAAACACTTTTTAAATTATAGTGATGATGTTACATATATTTATATAAATTATCTATCCTTTAGTAATTTCAGTGACTTGAAATATTTGTATGCTGTTTGATGGAAGTCCAATTTCTAACATTCTTTATCTTAAACATCAGGTTATCAAGCTGAACTTCGGAAAGAGGGTTTAAAAGAAAGAATGGAAGAAAGACCTTTTAGAACAACTGTGTTTTTGGATACTAGTGGCACAAATCCATTCTGTAGTAAGTTGTTAACATTTTAAACAACTGAATGAATTATTAGCTTTTTATACTTATCTACATCTTAGCCAAAATGTCCTTTGTACCCACTCAAACTCCATCATGCACTTTCAGGGAGATTTATTATTTGGTAGAGCCAGTTTGACAAGTTCAATTAAACTTTTTTTTTTTTTTTTTGATAAAAGAAACAGATACTTGGGTGATACTTTCCCAAATAAACAATCAACCTCTCCAGTCCCCAAATTTTCATAATTATCCCATTTACCCTGGTGGTATTTCTTGTCAAGTAGCCTAAGATATTTATCTCCACTATTATCCACTTGTGAGCTGAAACTAAACTATAGAAAGACAAAAAAAGGGCAAGTAAGTAATAATTTCCCCAATACATTGAGCATTAGCGACTTATAAAATGAAAAATAATTTCATAGAGAGGCCAGCAGGTGATGTAGTGGTTAAGGTGTTGGGCTCCCACACCTGTGGTTCGAGTCCCAGACCTAGTGACAAAAACAAAAAAAAACAAACAAACAAACAAACAAAACAAAAAAGAAACAAAAACCCTAAGTATTCACATAAAATTATTTTAAATAGTTATCTTTATGAGGTGGTATAAAAGAAAGTAAGATTATTCTGTTTAGACTTGAGAAGCTGGAAGTGGTTTATAAATGAAAATGAATTCTATACCTGGAGAATCTTACGGGGATAGTTCCAGTTATTGCCATTAACCTTGGTTACTGGGGAATTGTTATTTAAAAATACATTCTCAGAAGATATATTTAGGTCAGTCATTGTTAATGTTTTGCAGGTATAGTTGTTAAAAAATACATGTCAGCCTTAAGATACTGTTCTTTTAAACAGTAGAGATGTGTCCCATCATAGAAAATTAGTTCAGTTCACTTTTTTAATTAAAAATTCTATTGAGTTGACTTTAGATTCACATGCAGATATAAAAAATAATTCAGATAGATATTGTTTTGATTTTTTCAGTGGCCCTCAATTTTGTAACACTAAAGTGTGATATCACTAGGAGGATATTGTCATTGACATAATCTATGCTCCTTATTCAGATTCTACTATACACACGAGTGTGTGTGTGTGTGTAGTGTATTTAGCTCTATATGAATTAATCAGTATCCTTGAGGCTGAAAAAATACTGTACTACATTTTAATAATAGCATTTTGAGTAAGAATTATTATGAGGTTTATTCTCACAGTTATCCCTAAATAGCCAGTGAAACTGGGAACTACAATATGTTTATCAAGCAAATTTACCTGGAACTATTGATGAGAAAACCAAGGAAATTTATTATATTTACCTGAGATTTGCTATTTATAAAGAAGGGTTATTTAACTGACCCAAATTGTGATTTTATTTTTATCTGAGGACCAATTTGTATTCAGTAGCTACTTAGCTAACTCTTCAGTATACCTGACTGATTGGCAGAATTTTTCATTCCTTCTTTTTAAGACTAGTCAGAAATTATGGGACCAGCAGTTAGCATAATAGCTATGTCGCTGGACTCCCACGTAGTCGACAGTGCGTGGCTCGTGTCCCAGACCCGGTGGCTTAAAACTCACGCCGGGTGCACGTGCGTGTGTGCCCAAGATCCTGAGAGGAGAACGGAGGAGAAAGGATTGCGGCGTGGCCATCCCACCTGGGGGGTGATTTCTCGCTTTCTGTCTCTCTGTCTCTCTCTGTCTATCTGGCGAGCGCATGTGCCCTATAGCAAAAACCTCTTAATAAAAAAAAAAGACTAGTCAGAAATTGACAAAGAAGTAAAATATATTACTCATTTACCAAATTCTGTTCTGTGAAACTCTCAATATTATTTGCACATATAATATGGTCCTAGATTATGAAAACATATGTGTGTATATATGTATATTTGCACATGTATTTAAATAGAGCAAACTTAAAAATAATGTGAATTATGCTCTATGCTTTTGTTTTATAGCCTACTATTTTGTTCTCAGTATCATTGTTCTGGATAGAACTATGAAGAATGGCTATATTTCATTCAAATTATTGAACCAGCTTGGCATGGTTGAAGAACCCCGGCTCTATGAGTGAGTATAACTTAGTATTTTTTCCTTCTATAAATCAAACGTTTGCTTTCTTGTGTCTCTGGTTCAGCAATCCAAATACTATACCTTTTTCTATCCAGGGAGTCTTAAAACCATCAATTATGCTAATTTAAAAGGCTCCCATGTTTTATCTTCATTCTTTTATTTTACAGAGGAAAATACAAAATATTAAAGAGATGAATTGTCTTATTTATGTTACATAACTAGTGACTTACAAAAGTTAAAAGAGTGGAAGAAAAAAATCTTTCCTTTCTTTTGACTCACATTCTAATGTCTTTCCTAACCACCTCCTCATCTTCTGCTAGTCTTCAATTTTTTAGGCAACACCACTGTTCACAGAGATGTCAATTAATGTCTAAAGACTTTAGTCAAAAGTAACACAATTTTAGTATTTCAGAGAACTAGTCCCAGGCACAGGCTTCCAAATAATCAAAAAATGATTTGTTTCTCAAATTCTGTTTCGCTTTTTATGTGCGTACTTATGTATGTGCAGGTGTTTATGCATATTTGGAGTATGTATTGACTTTTCATTCCTTCTTTTTAAGACTAGTATCTAATATCGAATAATATTCTCATCTTGAGTTTGTGAATGTGTAAGCATGTGTTTAATAAGTTCTTAAACTAGGAAGTTACATTTTGCTTAAAAGTTGCATGCTACTATTAAATTTGTGACTTGCAATCTGTTATGTTACATTTCTAAAGCTATTAAATAATGGAATTGTTTTCACAAGGCCCACAGTAACCATGTCTAGTGATTACATAAAAGATATAGTTATTTATTGTGGTTGGGCCTACAGCAATTTGACTTTTTGACTGGTAATTGATCATCCTGGAATTTCAGGAGGCACAGCATTTACTACTGTCACGATTTAGGTAGTTACAGCCCCTGGATTGACTCCTTGACTAAACCTAATGTGCAGTGAACCTCGCGCCTGAGTACATAGTGACATCTAAACTTATCCAGTCATTAACTGTGACCCAGGAAAATGTCCCCACCTGCTTGTTTATTTGCACATCAGTATTACAATCAACGATAGTGAGGTAGTTAATATTCTACTATTATTGGCACTTAGTTAAAATCCAAAACAACATCAAAATATGAAAAGTAGCCATACTCATAATACACACAGTTCATTCAGTAGCCGAGTATTTCAAAGCTTGGAACCTATAAGAAAATAATCATAAAAGAGGTACATAATGGGAAAAATCAAGAGAACCTCTGTAACAAAGTAGCATAAGCCCATTCCATCATGGAATGCCATGGTCATCGTTAGAAATAATCTCCTGGGCTATACAAAAAAATATTTTTTATAAAAAATTTAAGATTAATACTTTTCAATATTAGGTTCTATAATTTAATTTACTAAAAGTAATAAAGGCATTGCAGGTCACTTAATAGGTGGGTAGAACTAGTCGCAAAAGTTATTATTGTCTTTTTTTTTTTTTTACTATCCCTCATTTAGCCAAAGAAGGCAAAAATAAAAAGAAATAAAAATTGGGACCAGAAGGTGGCATGGTGGTTGAGCTGGACTCCCACATGGCCAATTGCAGTTAGATTCCTGGACCCAAAGACTTGGAAATCACGCTGGGTACCTGTACTTGCATGCCCAAAATCCTGAGAGGAGAGTAGAGGACAAGGGATTGTGGCATGGCCATTCCCTAGGGAGGGTGAATGCTCTCTCTGTCTTTCTTGGCAAGCACAAACACCTGATGGCGAAACACATTAAAAAGGAAATAAAGAAAAAGAAAAGAAAGAAATCAAACCAGAACTTCCATGCAAATTCTTAACTTACTTTAGGACGTGTCTTTATGTTTGTCAGTATTTAGGGAGATTTTTAAGCCCTTTTCACCTGATTTTGAACAGCAACCACATGTGTTATTTTCATAAATAATACTGTTCCATAATAGTTCATTCCCTTACCTTGCTTCAAATTGTGAATGTTTATGTATATACATGATTTACTGTTTATTTTTGTTAGAAATATGCTTTTTAGCTTTCAAGCTAATTCACTTATTCAACAAATTATTCATTGCCAGTCTTATTCAGCCTTTACAATGGGGACCCAAATTTAATAGACAGTGTTATTCTCAGTAAGGTTAAAGAATGCTAGAAGAGGGACCAGCAGTTAACATAATGGCTATGTCGCTGGACTCCAATGTAGTTAACCGCAGTTTGAGTCCCAGACCCGGTGACTTAAACTCACGCTGGGTGTGTGTGTGTGTATGTCCAAGATCCCTAGAGGAGAAGGGATTGGGGTGTGACCATCCCCCCTGGGGGGTGATTTCTCATTTTCTGTCTCTCTGTCTCTGTCTTTCTGGTGAGCACACGCGCCCTATAACAAAAACCTCTCCAAAAAAAAAAAAAAAAAAAAAAAAAAAAGAATGCTAGAAGAGACTAATGGATAATGACAGCTCTGAGTAGTAAGATATTTAATAAAAAAAAATTAATATGCTTTGGGGCACAGAGGAGAAGCAAGGAAGCAAGTGAAGATAAGGTAATGCACACAGGAATCAGAAGGCATTTTCAAGGCATGGAGATAGGAACGTACTTATTGTACATTCAGCAAAAGCATGTGGACAGCTGTCCCAGAGCAGTTGTTTCAGTCTTGTTCAGATGCAACAAAACTGTCCAGATTTACTTTACAAAACATATTCTTTCTGAAAACCATGAAAGAATGATATGGTTTATTTAAACATTTGAATTAGTGCATTTTCGCGAAGGAATATAAAACAGGGGAACATATACACAAGTGTTTTATTCTATCTAAGCCTGGCCAATGATTTTACTGCTTTTCTATTATTAATTACTTGTGAATACATCTAATCATACTTTGGGATTTAAATGACCTCTTAAAGGCATGGAGAGTCAGAGAATTTTAAATTATCTTTTATTTTCCTTTTCAAAATTAGAACAAGGATATTAGTCACTGTAGAAAATACATAATATTATACAGTAAAGTTGAGACTCATAATTATATCGTCCAGGAGTACCCACACTTACCATCTGGTTTATAACATTCTTTCACCTCTTCTTTTTCCTTCTTTTCTCCTCTTCCTTCTTGTATGTCCCATACATAACAGATATTATTATTTTTAAAGAAAGAATAGGATGTTTTTGTACATGTGTTCTGTATCTGTACTTTAATACCTCCTCTTCCTTCTTGTATGTCCCATACATAACAGATATTATTATTTTTAAAGAAAGAATAGGATGTTTTGTACATGTGTTCTTTAATACTTAACGCCAAAGGTGTAACTAAAAGTTACTTAAATGTCCTAAAATGAGACCACATATATTAATATGCCAATATAGAATTTTAAACAGGGACATTCAATAGTGAATATAAGTTAAAATGATTCCCTAGATGATAAAGCAATAGGGAGATCAGATGGACCAAAACTGGAGCTAGGAGTTCTCAGAGGTGGTTATTGCAATAGTTATATGAAAGATTATGGGTCCTGTCCCAAGTCGGTGGAACTGGAAAAGCAGGATGAAATAGATCCTGGAGATGTTTTAGACTTTAGAAAAGATGTGTAATATGTTCTTTTGTTTCCTGGAAGACGTGAAAGTGAAGGAAAGAAGTTAATCTAGAGTAACTTCAGTTTTGTGCCTGGTGACCATGTAAATGATTGTGTCTTTCTGCTGAACTAGGAGAGAATCCAACTCTGTCATTCAGTAACAGTTCTTACGAATGTCTGTGGGCCACTAGTCTGTGGTGTCACTAGCTATTTTTGTGGACATTTAGGTTTAGAACTGAATGTCCAGGAGTCTCTGCCCTGCATCATTCCAGGGACCAACAAAGCAGAGATCCTGAAGCAGGAGGGAGCATGACTTACTTTGGGAGCTTTTAGGAGTTCAGTATATTTGAGAGTTGAGAAAGGGAAATCAAGAGAGAGATGAGAGAAAGAGAGAACTTAGATATTGCAGAAACTAGAATTCAGTTATTTCCTGGACTTTTGGTAAAGATCAAGTGTAGAAGATGGAATTCCAAAACCAGGTTTCGGGACTTATGTTTCTCTTCTGGATAAATAAAAACCTCTGTAACACATTAGTTGGGGAGTCTGATTAAGGACAAGATTAGATTTTTGTTTTGGAAGAATGGTTTGACCAATGAGGGAAAAGATGGGATGCTATTGAAATAAGATATGTAAGAAACGATGTGTCCTAGGACACAGAGTTTGCAGAGATGAAAAAGTGAGGGTAAGTTCAAAGTGGATTCAAGATATTTCATAGATAATGTCAGTAGGAACTTACGACAGATTGAATGTAGAGGGTCAAAGAGAGGATGATGTTAAGTCTGAATTCTAGCTTGACTTGTGCTTAGGTAGTAGTACCATAAATTTGTAAATTTTAGTTTGTGGGTTTAAACATCTATCTATCTATTTATTTTATTTGTAAAAGGTGTTGGGAGAATGACTCATTTAGATTTAAACCTACTGAGTTTAGGCATCCTTGAGATATCCTAATGGGTATGATACATAAAATAAAAGTGAATATATGAGGGGTCTTCAAACAATTCATGGAAACTATCAATTATGAAAAAAATCTATGTATTGATTTAAAAATATTGTTTATACCATATAAAAATATTTTTCCATGAACTTTTTGAAGTCCTCTCATATATGCCTGGAACTCAGCTGTAGACTTCAGCTAGAGGAAGCACAAGCTGCTGATTTGATCATCCACTGAAGTGGATGTGCATTTGTGGGAGAGTTGTGGGAGAAGGTGTAGGTATGCTACATTTGAAGTTATCTCAGGAATCTGTTGGAAAGACAACAGAGATGTGGTATGACTCACAGTCTGGGGTAGAGGAGGAGGTTGCCTTGCCAGTTGGAGCAAATATGGACTTCGAGGGGGAATGATCCATCCTTTTTTGGGCTTGGCTGCTGCAAGGAATCAAAAGAGATCAAGGACAACAGCAAGATGGAGGCCTTGCAAGGTCCCTGCTGTTGCTCTTCAGCTGTGCTAGGTGTGATGCTCACCTTTGCTTAACAAGTTGTCTGTAAACAAGAGCTTCTGATTTCTGTCCTATAAAAACAAATGAACAAACAAAAAACAACCCAAGAGCTTCTTTCAACAGCCTTTTCAAAAAAATCTTCTTATGTCCTCTCCTCTCTTCCTTTCTTTTCTCTTCCTTTACCTTCCCCTTCTCCCTTCTTCCTCATCGTCCTCCTTCTTCCCTCTATTTTCTTCTAGTTTATCTAATGATACAAAGGACAGTAGACCATGTAAAGTTTCTCTGTGGATCAGGCTGGTCCATGTTACATAAATGACTCCAGGGACCCACAGTTGTGGCACATGGGGAAGAGGGATTGAGCAGAATGTTGAGAGAGCCTTTGTGACTGTACGTACACTCCACTGGTATATCCATTACCTGCATGACTTTGGGGAAGCCACTTATGTGCTCTGTTTCCTCAACTGTAAAACAGTAATATTCATAGTACCGAATAAAAGTTAATGAGTTAAATGAGACCAAATATGTGCAGCTTTATTACAATTCTGAACATAGTAAATGTTCAAGAAATTCTACTCATTAACTACCTTTATTTTTTCTTTTGAACCTTAGGCTCTTATAAATTATTCCATTAAATAAAAATTATCTAATAAAATGGGACATAACACAAAAAGTTATCCAAGCACCTAGTTTGTTTCAGAAATGTAGTCATTGTTGAAGAGTTAAAAAAAATACGATCTGGACTCCTTGGAAAGATAAAAATATCTAAATTATTTCCCAGAATGCATACCCAAAATATTTCTTTATGGGAATGCTTGTTATTATTATTAATCATTGTAATTTTAATGTAGTTATATAAATAACTACAGATATTTCATTGAATCATTTCTCTGTAGGATTATTCTCTGTGTCTTGTCTTAGTAGAATTAAATACATTTTAGAATTAAATTATGTTTCAAATTATTAACTAATAAGTGTATCAAATTTTGTTTAGGAAGAACAAGCCATTTGATAAACTTCAAGAAGTCAAGATTCTTGCTCAGTTTTTCAATGATGTTGTAAACATTTCGAGCATTGGTTTGACATATTTCCAGAGCTCAAATCTGCAATGTCCCTCATGTAAATACCAGATACAGAGTCTCATGTTAAAATCGCTTACATTTCCAGAAAGGTAAGAAAAATAAATTTGGACATGTTATACTCAGACTTGAAAATACCAGTTTTTTTTCAAATATCTGTTCTTATATATTTCAGCCTATATTTTTACATAAATATTAGTATATCAAAGAGGTATAAAATGCATTTGTCTGGCTTGAGTAAAATTTATTTTGGAATCACTTTATCCAAATAAAGAAAAAAAAACACATGCTAACATTTCATAAGATACGACTATATATATATATATATATATATATAAATTCACAAGCATGGTTCAAAATCGTTTTATACAATGCTTTAGATGAGGTGTAATGGCTGAATTCTATAATGAAACCCATAGTCTCAGAGGATGGAAGTCATCATGGCTTTCAATGATCCTATGATCTCTTTTTCCCTTCCATCCTTGATACATTTAGTTGGGAAGGTAAAAATGTTCAATGTCATCTGCTATATCTAAAATTCTATAGGTTGCTGGGGATTTGGCCCCAAGAATATGCTGACCATGAGGTTCTCGGGGAGAAGCTGACTCTATGTTTTAGTTTTATGGTCACCTATTCTGGTTTGTCGGTTACACCACAAATATCTCCATTCATATTAAAATGACACCACTCTGACTGGGTACCATGTTCATGGAGAGAGAAGCTCTGGCTGTGTTTTTCTCAGCCCATTTAATATGGTCTTCTTTGTGTCATGTCTTCACAACCAAAGGGGATTTCCATTATCTTTGTCCTCTTTGTAGCAATAAACATCTTTGCCATAGAGTACCTCACACATCTGTCAACAGCAGCACTGTGAGAGCATTAAAAATCAGGAAGGAGCTCCTTTGATCATTTGACAGTTGGGACTGAGAGTTGTTCCAACAGTGAGCATCCCTGAGAATCGACAGAAAAGGATTATGGATTGCTAGAAATTACTCTTCTGTTGATTATGATGCTTCCTCGTTATGTCTCTTTACGTTCCTGTTATATGTCCAATTTTCCAATAACCTCCCCAAACATGTTGAACATAGCAAATAAGAATTTGTGCCGACTAAAAGAAAAAAATGATACATGAATAAAAATACACATTTAAATGAGGTTTATATCAGCAGAAAGGATTTAGAAAAAATATTTGAAGTGTAAGTCCTAACTCAGTTTAGAACTTTAGGTATGATCATATTTAGTCATTTCAAAGTCAATAAGTAAGATGCCATTAAATATGGCAAAAAAAAAGGGGTGACTAGATTATTCTTTGCCATTGATTGAAATTCTTACTGAAATACTGAAAATATAAGGACATTTTCAGCAATAACATCGCAATATAATCTCCTACTCACATATATTAGAGAGGCGGGGAAGTCATCTATTGAACTGGAGTTGTAAGATTTTTAATCTCTGGCTGATGGATGTATTATTTTAAATATGCAACCCCCCCAACATAAAAATAGAAATAATATGTGCAGTCCTCCGAAACTGGCTTCTAACGAGGTCAAGGCTGTGCACCATTATATCCCCCTAATCTCCCTGTCACTACCTTTCCAAATGTAAAGCAGGTAAGTATGAGTGAAGTCTAGAACTTGTAGTTTTGCATCTGTTGTTTATTGAATTAAAACTTACAAGGTTCATGTGACCCAGGAACAGTCTTCTCCCCATATATCATAAACAACAAGAGAAATCAAGAATTTCTTCCTCAGTCCAGAAGCAGCATTCAATGTAAATCTCCATCAGACGCCGGATGGTCAGTTAAAATATGTGTACAGAGAACTGCTTACAGGCTCAAAATGCAAGAGGAATTTAGTCCTATACATCTGGACAGTAAGAGAGGCCATGAATAATCCACTCAGTGCATATTGGTAAAGTCTGGGGGAGATACACCTCTCATCACTTAAGCGAAAGTGAACAGAAAAAATACAACAATGAAAATGAAAAAGGCCCTAATCAGTATAGGTAACACAAGAAAGAAAGATACAGCAGTAAGAATTTAGAAATACAGTAGACTTCTAAAAAATATTGTAACAAGAAATAGTAGGAAGTTACATAAAGTATTGCTTGGTATTCCTGAGAGTATTTCGGAAAACAAAGATCTGTAAAATAACAATGGAGAAGGGTCGGCAGGTGGCATGGTGGTTAAGGATGCTGGACTCCCACACGGCCGGACTGGGGTTCAAGGTCTGCTCCACGCTTTATGCTCTCTCTTGTTCTCTCACTCTGTCCTTCTCGGGTCAAATTAAAATAAATAAATAAAGTTAAATAAAGTAATTCTTAAAAAAAAAAAAAAAAGAACGATGGAGAGTGAGATGATAAGGCAACTAGTTGCTGTTCAAAGGGAGTTGTCTAAATGAAAAAGCAAAAACTAGAATTGGGCCAGCCAGGTGGTGTGGTAGTTAAGGCAGCTAGATCCCACGTGGCCGACTGCATACACTTGGCAGCATGAGAAATACTCAGGGCATCTGTGTGTGTGCGCCTAGAATCCTGAGAGGGGAGTGGAGGAGAAGGACTGTGGAGTGGTCATTCTCTTTGGTGGTGCTTTCTCACTTTCCTTTCTCTGCCTCTCTCCAGCAAGTGCACATTCCCTATATCAAATTGTTAAAAAATAAATAAATAAAAACTTAAGTCAACACCAACATTAAAAACAGACAAGAGTAGATTTGATCAATCATGTAGAAAATATATTTTGAAATAATCTACAGAATAAGAAAACATTAATAATTGAGAAGATTTGGTAATAGTTATGGAAAAAAATGATTGAAATGTAAAATGTAGATAAGCAATGTTGCTGAAGAGACACAGAAAGAAGAGAGGAACAAACTTGCACATGAGTTACAAGAAAATTCTCTGGACTGAGGGAAATAAGATGCAGATCTCAAAATGGAAAAGATGAGCTAAAACCCAGAAAGCTAGAAAAGACATAAACATTTAGACCAGTCTTATCAAGTTTATTTTCAAAATTTGATGATAAAGATAATTCTTCAAATATTCACAGAAGTCTTCAGGAAGTGGAAGAGTCAATATTGTAGCAACAGTAATTCTTAGTCAACGTACTTACACATTCATCATGACTTCAGTCGAATACTAAAGGACATATTGCTTGACCCTCCTGATTAATATGGAATTACAAGTACTAAAATGAACCAAGAAATAATGAGTATAATATTTACAATTTTGTGAATCAAATTAGAGATGTAGACATTAGCAAAAGAATGTCAATGCAGTATAATGGAACAAATAAAAAATTCCAAAACAGAACTTTGTAGATAATAAAAACAGCATTTTAAATAATGAGACTAGAATTGATGACTGAAAACTGAAAAATAATTTGATATTTTATATTATATATCAAAATTACTTTAGGTATAACAAACTATTAAATATAAACTGTAAACAAACAAAAAGAAGAAAATATAAGCAAATGTTTACTTGTGCTTACATGCCCAAAAATCTCAAAAGGAGAGAGGTGGAGAAGAAGGGACCACAGTAATGCCACAGCGTTACCATACCCGGGGGGCACTTTCTCACTTTCCCTCTCTCTTTTTCTCTTCCTTTCTCTGTGTCTTTCTCCAGCAAGTACGTGCACTCTCTGGCAAATTTTTGAAAATTAAAGGAACTAGTAGTTAATAGTCATAGCTGAAGATGTTTAACCACAATAGTATTCAAATAAATTAAAATAAAGGCAATGAATTATAATGTATCTCTTTGCAAGTTGGAAAAAATAATCTGTTATTGATGTTATAAGAAGTTGCCATACCATTTCTCTGCTCGTAGATATGTAAAGGTGCATGTACCAAGACCTCCCGAATGTTAATTCTTCTGATCCATTATTCTCTTGTCTGGAATTTATCTGTGAGAGAATAGTATAAGGTAATATGTGACAGCCTCAGCCCTGCAGGGAGAATGCCCTGGTTTGAATTCCACTTCAGCTAGGGACTAACTCATTGATTTCGGATAAATTAATTAGTCTTTCTGTGCCTCACTTTCCTTATCTGAAAAGTGGAAGTCAAAACAGTCTATAGACTGGCTAAGAAAGTTAAATTATATAATTTTATTAAAGATGTAAAATGTTATCTGATGTATTCTAAGCAAATGTGTTTCAAGTAGATAAAGGAAATAACAGAAATGCATGAAAATATTTGTACATAAGAAAAAATACAGTTTAATTTGTAATGCTGAAAATGTAAAAATAGGATAACTGCTCTAAAATGGGGCAATTGATAAATTGATTATGGAATACCTATACTATGAAATGTTAGATAATCATTAAAATGGCAAAATTATAACAACGTAATGGTTAATGACTCAATTTTTTTCCCAAAATACAATATGTATATATTCTATAACTAGAAAAAACTTAAATGATTTTTTATAAAGACTTTGATGAAAACAAATTAAATTTGTACAAAAACAATTTTGTAGCTTTAACTCAATTGTCTTATTTTATGTTAACTTCCCTAATTAGCTTAACTGCATTTAATCCAATAGTTTTCAGATCCTTTTGAAAATTTTATACATGATATTTTGAGTCAATGAGGGCAAGTATTTGATAGGAACAGACAAAAACTGTCTTTAATTAAGAGAATAACATCAGAAAAACAATTTATGGCTGCATTAGTTATGCTAGCATATTTAACATTTCATTTTTGTGCGCTAATTTGCTTGGGTAAAAGTACAAAGTACTTTAAGAAAACATAGGAATTGGAACTTAGAACTCTGAAATGTGTTTAAATATAGGAAATTTGGAAAAACTTCAACTACTTTTTAATGAGACTAGAATTGATGACTGAAAACTGAAAAATAATTTGATATTTTATATTATATATCAAAATTACTTTAGGTATAACAAACTATTAAATATAAACTGTAAACAAACAAAAAGAAGAAAATATAAGCAAATGTTTACTTGTGCTTACATGCCCAAAAATCTCAAAAGGAGAGAGGTGGAGAAGAAGGGACCACAGTAATGCCACAGCGTTACCATACCCGGGGGGCACTTTCTCACTTTCCCTCTCTCTTTTTCTCTTCCTTTCTCTGTGTCTTTCTC